TGCCACCCACAAAGAGGTGATAAATGAAGTTAGGACATAAAATTGCTCAACTCAGCCACTTCCAAGAACTTACACATATTTGGTGTGTGGAAGATAACAAACCAAGAGAATGGTAGATGGTAGCATCCTGAGAGACATAAGGAATCCAGAAAATGCAAAGTTATGTGACAAAGGGAAGTGAGTTGTTAGAACAAAAATAACAGCAACAATGACAAAATGTAGGCAGTGGTTAAAAATGATGCTGAGAAGTAAGACAAGTCCTAAGTAAAAATCCCTCATTAGATCTCCCATTTAGAAAGTCAATGGTGATTCTTGAAGAGAAAAATGTCAATAGAATGCTGAGAGCTTGGAGGAGAAGGGAAAGATTTGAGGAGCGGGCAGTGAACAGCTGATGACAAGCAAGTGTGGGTTACACTTTTGAGGTGTTTGGTAGAGAAAGAAAGGAGCCATAATATACCTGGAGAAGAAAAGCACAGTCTCTTTTCTTAGGAAAGGAGAGTATATATTTTATTTCAGAGAAGGAGCCAGTAAAGAGATGAAAATTGAAGATACAGATTCAGGAGAAGTGAGGGGCTGGAGTTGAGAGAACAGATTGATGTGACTTGGACACCAGTAAGGGCAAGTCTTCTTGAGAGAAAAGAGGGAGGAGGGATCAAGTAAGATTTTTAGGTGAAAAAGTGGGAAACTGGTGGATGTTTCATTAGTACCTCTCTTCGCCTGGAAGAGCGAGAATGCAGCATCAAGTTGAGAACTTGTGCAGAGCTGAGAGCAGTTTGTGACAGTCATTATCGGAGTTGGTAAACATGGCTAAGAGAATTGTTTAGTAGTTGTTTAGCCTCGTCTGGTAGATCAGATCACATGAATTTGACCCACAGATAAGCTGAATTTTTATGAATTTTTTCCATTTCAGTTCTTAGCTACCTGAAAGTTGGATTGGAGGAAAGGAATGATAGTATTTCTAGAGGGATAGTGATATAGCAGGATGAAGGAAGAAAGTGATCTTTTAGTGTTAGGAAAACTTGTTAAAAGGGATGTCTGAGTGGAAAGAGTAAAACCAGGTTGAAAGAACTGAGAATATATAGTGACTGTAGGACAGATGATGGCAAAGATCAAGTTTATTAAGGATGGCAAGCAATTCTTTGTTAACAAAAAAAAGAAGAATTTGTCTTTACAGGTGTTCAGTGAAAATTCACCAATGTCAAATACTTTATCTTCAAGCTCAAATACATAATTATATTCATACCACTCTAGGGTGCCTCTTCAAGCCCTGCATGTGTTTATCTCTTTTTCAGAGAATTATGTCAGACTCTTGGATCTGCTTTTTTCTTGGGAAGCTTTTTTCTATGGGACTCATTCCTGACATTATTCAGTGTAACTTCATTTCTGTTTCTTTTCTATCAAATAGATTTTCCCAGAGCTTAAAAAATCAAAAATTTATTATTGTGTGAAGAAGGAGATTTTGCCTTTTTTTACTTTTTTTAAGAAATAAAACCTAATAGCTTTGTCTTTTGGTGAATAAGCTGGAAAAAACAAGTTACAAGTATCTTCCCTTCTGCATAATTATTTCCATTTGAGTACCGTGCTTGAAAAACCATGACCTAGGGATGAGTCATATCTATTCAGTTGAGTTTGGTATGGATGTATATACATCAGTTCTATCAACTAATCCACAATTCTTGCTTTGGAACCACTTGGAAAAAGAAAACATTTGGTCAAAAGAGGAAACCTGGGGCCGGCCCAGTGGCGTAGTGGTTAAGTTCGTGTGCTCTGCTTTGGCGGCCTGGGGTTCTCGGGTTCAGATCACAGGTGTGGACCTACACACCGCTCATCAAGCCATGCTGTGGCAGTATCCCACATATAAAAAATAGAGGAAGATGGGCACAGATGTTAGCTCAGGGCCAATCTACCTCATCGAAAAAAAAAAAAGTACTAGAACCTTGATATATTCAAGAAAGGTGGAAATAAAGTCACAATCAATCTGAGGACTCCGTATAATTGCTGAAGTTGTGGTAACAGTACTTTTTTGAATTTAACTATCCTGTTCCCAGACTATGATCTTTGGCCTATGAATGAAGAATCTTGTCCGTAGCACACTGAGAGAGCAGTGGAAGGAAAGATACCCACGCTGAGGCAGCTGACCGAGACTCTTGACGTAAACAAGATATGGCTCCCAAATAAATCGATATGTGAATATGTACATGCAATATATTTACCTAAGTTCAGGCTCTGAATGTCTCCTGAGCTCACCCCTGGGATGCACAGCAGTTTACAACTCATCAAAAGTCTGGTTAGAAAGTGCTTTCGATGTGGTCGTTGCCAGTTATGTGCTAAATCCAGCCACAAGGAAAGGGCAGTCACTCTACAGTGCTCTTGAAACAGGTGGCTTTAAACAGCAAAGCTGATGAGCTGGTGAAGTGGTCTCAGGAGGACAATAATTTGGCTGCACTGGAGGGACTGGGAGTATTTAAATTTCTGTATTCACCTAGACTGATTTCGCATCCTCCCGATTTCTAAACTTCTCTTTGCTCCTGCTACCCTGTTCATGCTTCTGCTGTCCCATCTTCAGACTTCTGATTTCCATTCCACCTTTAGTGGCTAAAGTCTTCCTACTCTGAACCTGCTTTAAATTTCCTTAAAGGAGATAATGTAAGAAAAGCATCGAGCACATGGGTATGTATTGGTTTTCAATACAACAGCTGAAATGAATTTTATTTCTTGGCCACAAATTTCCCCTTCCCCTGAACTCATAGTATTTAACACTTCCCAGTGTCTTATCATTTTTAAGTGTTATGCTTTATTGCTGTAAATGTTTCATGTACGTATGTTTTGTGTCTTTAACCATATTATGGTAAAACCCTGAAGCTCCATTCGTTATATGCTATGGCTTTCCGCTCACAATGCAGTGGACAGCACAGTGACACAGAGAATATGCTCAATTAATTTTTGTGTGAACAAATAGTTTTTCCCATAGAAGAAAGTATTTTCACCTAAATGTATTATTTATCCTCTTGATATTTTGCCTACAAGAAGCTCATGCAATGCAGTTCACTGACTCCGATATTCTGAGATGATAATCTAATTTTTGTTATGCAGTGGCTCAAACTAGCAGGGCTGATCAGATTTACCTATTTCATTTTGTAGATGAGGGAATGAATGTTTACTCAGATGACTTTAACTTCCTGAAGATAAGGGAAGAAAACAATAGCAACAACCAGGACGAAAGCCACGTAACATTTACGCAGGGTTGTCATCTACCCTACAATATGTTGTTGTCTGACTTTCCTTCTCCTGACTGGAGAAATTTGGTTTGTCTGGATTTTCTACAATATAAATTTAAGGCATAGGAATAATTTCATTACTTTTGAACCTGAGTCACTTTCACGCTGAATTCTTCATAAAAATGTTTTCCAGGGTATGAAAAGAATTAGAATTTCTTATGTTTGGACTGTCTTAGAGTAAAGAGGTGGAAAATAGAATTAACTGCAACGAAATGGTGTGTTATGCATCACTTTAAATTATTCACTTTTTTATTTCTTTTACTAAGCTTGAGTTTTTCCTCATGATTGACCTTCAGATGCTTCTGAATATCTTTCTGCCACAGAACTGAGTAGACTAGCATCTGGTCTTCCTAGGTTATGAAGTACAAATTGAACTGACTCTCCTGGGGCTTAAGACTGAGGTCACTGGAGTGCTTTTTTAATGGAGAGTTAAGAATTAAATAGTCAAATCTTGCTCTTTGAAAGTTAGCATCCATCTATAATCAACGTCCATTCGTGCAATGGCCTTGAGAATTTTAGTGATGGCTTTATTACGAGCTGATTTTAGCAGTACTTTTAGCAAATTCTGATACGGAAAAGAACTGAACAACATAAAAAATATCATACTAAGTAGCCAACATTTGATGAAATTCTTTTAAAAATGTCAAGGCAATCATTGAAGAAATGTATTGTGTTTCTAATGGCACACTGTGAGCACAATGACAGCCATGTGTGCTTCACCGTACATCACCGAAATCGTGTTCCTGACCACTATGGCAGCGGACAAGAAGTATGTCATGTGACGCTTTCCCTCAGCCTAAAATCTATTTGGAGAGACAAAACAAGAGAATGGTGACACGTATAAAATTGAGAGAAGGGAGAAGTCATGGTAGGCTGGAATATTTAAAATGATAAATTTCTTTGGAAACAATTATAATTTGGCCACAAAACAGGGCAGAATTTGGACTCATCAATGAGAAATCAAGGTCAGTTGAAGCAGATGAAATATCATTAGCAAGGACACAAGTGCGAGCCTGAACATTGTTTGTAGGAGGACAGAGAGAGCATCAGCCAGAGTAGAAGAGAACGTGCTTGGTGGGGGATGGTGGGGAACAAGGCTGCAGACATAGATTTATGAAGGACTTAATAGAACCAAATAGTATACTCAGCAGAGAATCAATATTGTGTATGTTCCTGAGCAATGGAATTCAATAATGACATCATTCTTTTGCAAAGATTAATCAAATTGATGCATTAAAATGATTGAAAGGGGAGAGAGAGGAGAGTTGGCGAAAATAGTTACAGATTTCCAATGCTAAACTGCTGAGAAAAAGGGAATGGAGAGGAATGTATAAATATAAGAAACGTTTTAAGGAAGAAACAATTGAGCATTATGACTTAGCCAAAGAAAATAAAAGTGAAAACACACTCAGCAATACAGCAACCTTACAAATGACCAAATATCTCTAATGAGTAATAAAATGTTCAGTGTGTTTACTTAGCTCTGCCACCCTGACTTTTCAATGAATCTATTCTTTAAAAGGTCATGTATCAATGTCAAGCCAGTATGTAGGAGGCTAGCAAACAGGAAAGTGGCCTCACCTGACACTGCTCTCAGCCGAGGGAATGCGTACCCATTCTGTGTTACAGAATGCCCTCGTGACTGCTACACAGGGACCAAACCTTTTTCATTATGACAGCATTGCAATTTCCCAACATTTATTCTTCTACCCTGGGCGAAACTTCTTCTTTCTTTGAGTTTCATGCCACACTTTACCTTTCCTCATAGCTGTCATTCTCCAATCATCTATTACGCTCAAAATTTTTGAAGCATTGACACCTTAGTCATTGCTTCCTCTATACCCCAAGATCTGACATGAGTAGCTGCTGCTCCTTCTCTGAAATTTTGAAATCCAACATACCTTTGTATGACTGAACTCTCTCATTCTTTCAGTCTCTCTTTGTACACTCCTGATGCCAATAATTTCTCAATGACTATCGGTTGCTTTGCCTTCACCAGAAATACTTAATAACATACTTCTATCGTCAACTCCCTTACAACTCTCCCATGACAAAGCAAAACTCTAATCCTGAAATTATGCCATAACCTACTACCTCCCCTTACCTACTTAAGATATAGTATGAGAATATCCATGATCTTTAATCTCAGTCGATTGCTCATATTCAAGAATACATCTACAGAAGAAAATAAAGACAAGAATTTTCTACTTTTAGTATCTCTGCCCACTGTCTGAAAAAACAGCAAATGGCCAATGGCTGTTTCTCTAATGACCATGAGCTCTGTGTGTGTGCATGTTCGTGTGTATATGTGTGTGTGTTCCTTTCCAGGGATGAATATAGATTAAGTGAAAGAGGAACTAAATTGCTTATTTACTGTAAATTGACCATCACACTCTGCCCGCCTCCAATTTCCTCTAACAACTTTTACTCTTCAAGTTTCTTCCCCATGCATCTCTAGGTTTATGCAATATCTGATCTTTTTTCCTCTAGAATAAAAGTGTCTAGAGGTTTTCCAGATTACGTGTTACAGTGCAAGCATTACAAAGGGATTTACGACTTATAACTTTGCTCCCCTGTTTAGCACTTTTCGATAAATGAAAAAAAATAAGGATAAGCATTAAGTTGCATGTGTATATGTATTTGTGGGTTATACATATTTATACCCAACCAAAATATAAAGATGAGAATGGAACTTTAAATTAAATGTAACATCATATTTACACGTGTCTCTACCACTCTGAGTATTACAATATTCTTTTACTTAAGAAAACCAAAGTCCCAACATGGTTCCTTGAATCTCTCATCAGAAGGGATTAGCGTACAAGTTTTCTTGACCTGAAAAGTAACCTTTAGCTGACAAATGCATGTAAGGAAATGAAAAACAGCAGTGTTTCTACTCTTATCCATTTTTTTGTGCTCTCTTCTGATGTAAAAATATTTCATCCTTCAAAAAACTATTGTTTCATATCTGCATATGTTAAGGAAACATTTAAATAATTAAGGTGCTTTCCTGAAGTGAGCATACATATAAATTTAAAATTTAAGGCTAAGCAATAAAGTATTCTCTTTGAATTAAAGGGAACTTGCTGAAATGATTCATTAAATCCTTAAAAATAATTCAAACTTCAAGAATATATACTAATGAATATTTCCTATCTAGCTTGCAAATTAAGTTGGAAAATCTACAAGAAATAGCTATCAATGTAGGAATGCTGATAATTCTATACAGATTCATGATTTTACTATAAAAGTTCATTAATACATGAACTTAATTGCATAAGTTCATAATTGCATATGTTTTGAGTATACAACTGGGAACCTCACAAAGCCGGTGATTTCACACAGGTAGATTTTCCATATTTCTAAATGTACCCTTAAATCCCCAAAGATATAAATTTATTGCAACAAGGTGTTACCAAAGATTGGAGATGGCTTTCTCAGAAACCAAAGCCTCATGCAGTTTTGTCACCTTGGATGTGGCTTAATGACACCAGCCAAATAAAGTCAGACTCATGAATGGTTCAAGGAGCAATTGAACAGCATGAAGAAGTTAGAAATTCCATGAAGACAAATATTACTTATTTATTAAGTAATAATTTTCAAAAAAGAAAGACTCCTTTTTGCGTAGATGTAAATTATTCACAGTTAATTTGGTTAGGATATAATAATATTTATAAATCTGAAGATATTAAACCAATTATCAAAAATTAGGTTTTAAAGAGATTTTTTTTTAATTCTTAGTTAAAAATTAAGATGGTGACGTACAGAGATGTAAGTAATGTGAGTTCCCTAGATCAAGCAATTTGTGGTTAAATTAGGAATAGAAGAGATCTTTTCCTTCCAGGAAAAAAGAAAATGATATGTATTAAATGCTGGTTTTTTAACTGGATACTGGCTAGGTATTAATATGCCCATTTTTGTAACCGAAGTGACTAAAGCTCAGGTAACTATCGAAAAATTATACGGTTAGTAGGCAGGAGGAGCAGACTTTTCAATTCAGGTTTTCTTGACCGTGAAAACTACATTCCTTCCACTATAACAGATTTCCTCCACTTCTGCTACTTTCCTGTGATAATATATGCGTTTCAGAAGTATTCATTATGCGATCTTTTAAATAAAAAAAAATGCTGATTTATGATGAAATACAATATAAATCAGTACAACATTTTGGGAAAGCAAATTGACAGTAAGTAGCAGATATCTACAGAAGCAAATGGGGATGAACTTTCTGGAAACTGCCTACCCCAATAAATGAGAGAGGCCAGAATGTTGCTGGACACAACTAGAATTTGGTGCTTGGATGTCGTTAATGACACTTGGTAAGATGGTAAGGAAGACTTTATTCCAGGGATGCCATTGTGGTAGAAATAGGGGCCAATGCAATAGGGTCTTGCAGTGGGAGAGAGAGATTGGGCTCGACTCCAAATACAGCGTGGACATGCGGGAATTTATAGCCAAGGCTCAGGATGGGGGTCAGTGTATGGAAAATTACTAAGAGGAACCATGAAGGATGAGGGGAGATCCTGGCTAAACTGACCTAGTAGGAGTCTTGCTGAAGGCAGCCAGGCTGATCAGACATCACCTGGAAGCTGGTGGAGAATGAGCAACCAGAAGAGATATCAACGGCGGTCAGATATAGAGAATGATGGATTCTAGTGAAACCAACTTAACAAGATTCGTTCAGAGATGAACATGGAAATCCAAACGTGGAAGTCAAGGTGAGAAAGTTCAGTGGAGCCTGAGTAGAGTTTGGTCAAGGAGAGGATCTTTGTCAACACCTTCAGGTCTCTTTCATTCCATCTTTTCTTTCTGCTCTTTGTGTTCTGGCTTCTCTGAAACCTGCTTTCTCCACCAGGCTGGAACCGTGGCCACCAGCAGCCCTGGGCATACACACTTTTTCAAGATGAAATGAAATTAGCTTTCAACCACCGTCCCCCAACTCCCACAATTCCTAGTTATAACACTCTTTGGAAAGTAGCGTACTCTGGCTTGGACCATGTGTCTATCCCCTGGATGAATTGCCATCTAGTCAGGGATATAGGGAACTATAATAGGCTGAGCTTGGATCAGATACTTATCCTTCGATCCATCACTGTTGTCCGGAAAGTACAACATGTAAACAACAAATAAGGCTGCTCCCTTCAAAACACATTCCCCAGGAAGGGGGAAGGGTACCAGCCTGGAAAAACAAGACAATAAATGTATCTTACCTATTCCAAAATGTTTCCTCATTTGCTTAAAGAAATTCAAATGGAGTTCACTCATTGTGACCAAAAAAGTTTACATGATTAAATGAAAACATTTTTATGTATGATAAACTATACTAAAGAAGGAAAGAGAGGGGCTGGCCCTGTGGCGTAGTGGTTAAGTGCGTGCGTTCCCCTGCTGGCGGCCCGGGTTCGGATCCCGGGCGCGCACTGACGCACCGCTTGTCAGTCCATGCTGTGGCGGCGTCCCATATAAAGTAGAGGAAGATGGGCACGGATGTTAGCCCAGGGCCAGTCTTCCTCAGCAAAAAGAGGATTGGCATGGATGTTAGCTCAGGGCTGATCTTCCTCACAAAAAAAAAAAAAAAAAAAAAAAACAAGAAGGAAAGAGAAAGCTCTATATATACATACAACATCCATTTTGATGTAACAGTCAATGTTTGTTACCACCTAGCACTCCATTTCCCCCTCGTCCGCATAATAACCCAATTTTCATATAGATGTTGACTCCTCTGCAGTTGAGGTGATCCGCCACAACCTCCAGGGCTGGGCTGGATTGTCTCAGGGAAGTCCCACAGTGATTGGTTCAATAACCTAGACCTGAATCAATCAGTGAAGGGCCTTCTGCTGGCCACAGGGCTCAGGTACCAGGATTAACATAATTCATGAGGTGAAATTGGAGAGAGTTTCCTTGGGGATGACAGTAAAGAGGTCTTCTGAGTCATTATGAGAGAGAAATCAAGAAAAAAACGTTCTGTGCTCTGCCACACATCTTGATTTGTGGACATGTGAAGCCTGGTACTGCTGGAGGCATTTTGCAACCAGGAAGGAAGCTGGTTCTGGGACTAAGCCAATGCCTGTGGAAGGGCACAGCTGCGGAATCACAGCGAAATGAAACCACGAACCACGTGTGAAGAGAACTGAAGTTTGTCCTGCTTCTGGATATCCAGCTATCTACACAAATAACCTGTCCTTCAGATTTAAGTTATGTATGCTCTTTTCTTCTGATACTGATATTATAAAACATCTTGAGACATGTAGCTTTAACTACAAGGTCATTACAGTGTAAATGATCAACCAAAGAGATGTGGAAAATAAATTTTAAAATATCCACTCAAAGAAATATTTTGGAGACATTACATGTTATAATTATGAAGACTGTGTAGCAATAGGTTACTTTTAAGGTTACAAATAAATTATTTGTTTGACTTTTTATTACCTGAACTATCAGTCAGCGTCTAGCAGTCATGTTAAGTATCTTATATTCTGGTTTTGTGTGTGTGTGCCAGGAACATTCACTCTGAGCTGACACCTGTTGCCAATCTTCCTCTTTTTGCTTGAGGAAGATTGGCCCTGAGCTAACATCTGTGCCAATCTTCCTCTATTTCCTATGTGGGATGCTGCCACAGCATGGCTTGACAAGTGGTGTAGGTCTGCACTCAGGATCTGAACCCACAAACCCAGGCCACTGAAGCGGAGCATGCTGGACTTAACCACTACGCCATGGGGCCAGCCCCACTTATATTCTGGTTTTGATGTAGGCCTCAGAGGTCTGACATGGTTGAGAATGAGATACTCCACAAAAGAGTCTACTCAGATTACTCATGCTTTCTCCTTCTTCTTCATTTTTTTTAATAGGCTAAGGATTTTTATGGGAATATTTGTATGATGTGTTAAATACTTCCTGCCTTATTGGAGCAGGGTGCATAATTTAATATTTTCTTGATGACTTGGGGTCTTCATTGTGCATATCAATTGTACAGTGTACAGTAAAGTAATTATTTGAGGAGACATTTGCCTCAAGATGCTATGCCTTTTAAATTCTCGGGTCAGTTTGTTGTATTTGCTTTTTATAATTATTTTGTGAATTTTACGGTCCCTCTGACTTGCTGCTTTCTGTCAGGCTGTCAGGTGTCATTTCTTGCCACTCTTTGATGGCCTGCCAATACGGTCGTGCCTCCTTCTAATTTTCTGCTTTTAACCTGTTCTAGATTAGAAAGTCAAATAGGCACGCTTTTTAGAATTGTGTCTAAAAAAGGAGTCGAGTTTTTAGTAAGGGGTTTGTCTAATATACCAAGTTCTGGAACAAGGACACTGAGTTATTTCGTTTGGGCTGTCCAAATACTTTAGGAGAGGTAGATAGAGTCAGGAAAAACTATCTTACCCTTTGTTAATTACAAAATAAAGCAATCACTTGTTTGTGAAAGGAATTTTTCTATTAAATCTCTTAAAATTAAAGGGATTGTGTTGAGCAATATTTACATTGAATTAATTTGGATTTTACCCTGTAGTAGGTTTGCTGCCAAGTGACATGTAAATTTTAGATCTGTGATGAGTCTCAAGCTAGAAAGCACATTAGTCAAGATGTCACATGATCCTTCAATTTACCAAGTACACACCAAGTTTCGATGGTGTTTCTTAGTTGTTCCCAGCTAAGAACAGAGCTAGTCTGTTATCAGTACAATGTTTTTCATAGCGTCCAGGTCTCCCATCCAAAAATTTCTAAGTAAACATGCTCCTTTCCTTTCACTAAATTTACATGTTTTTCTGCTATAATGGATGTTTTTGAAAGAAAAAGGAACTATTGACTATTCTTTAAATCTACAATACCTTGAATTGACACCTTTGGATTGAGTTCATCTTAAGTCTCAGTGGATAGTATTTAATATAACATCAATTTGAAACTCATATAAAAATGAGGCCTAAAATGTTTACTTGATCCTTTAAATAAATTATTTTTATAGTTATCTTTAACGTGTCTACTTTATTTAATATCAGCCCATTGTTCTTCTGCCAGCTAAAGCGTATAAAATGCTGTATGGTGTAACAAGTGTCATTAGAAGCAAAATCTTTAATATCTAATTTGCTAATTCCAGTTTTGTAGTTTTCAATCTGAAATACAGATTTGTAAATTGAATCATAGAGAAAACATTTCACTTGGAGAAATTTTACCAGAAGCTTTTAAAATAAATATCTTTTCCTTTTCTTTTTTCAAGAAGGATAAAACTTTGAGTGCTTTGAGAAGTCCTGTAGAGTGAACCACTCTAAACAAAAATATAAAAAAGGGGGAGGATTCTAGAATTCTCTGGTATAAGGAAGGTATTCACTTCATGAGAAATTTCCCTCAGACTCAGTCCATACAGATTATCCTTTAAAATGTTTTCATCAGTTTTGCCTTTCTGCCTTTGACTGAAATGAGCCTAACCCTTGACTGTTGCTGAATTTATAGCTCTGGTCAAATAAAATCTTCTGGCATTTCCTACACACAATTGGGTTTCTTAGCTGCTCGCGAGATTTGAGCAATTGTAGTTTGCTTCATTATTAAAGACATATGATGCCTGTTGTACAAATTTCCCCTTGGGCAACAGAGCTGATAAAAGAATAAAGAACTTCAAGAATTTGTATTTTGAACATAAGTCCCAAGGTATCTTTCTTTCATTTTTTTTTAAGTTGTAGGAAAGCTTGCAAAATAATTTCCATTGTTATTTAGCTTTGTACTTATTGTGAAGCTATGAGAGAACACAGCATTTGCGAGATGAAATTATTTGCCATAGGACATACACATGTGTTATTTTACCTTTTTGCCCACAGTTGGTGATGTTAATGAGACCTTCCTAAAAATGGGAATTTGAAGTCTGTCCTAATCGGAATCCTGATTGCACGTGTAGTATAATTCCAAAGGGAGCAAATGTGGTTCACTCCTGAATGTTTTAGACTCTTAACTAGAACACTATCTTT